ATGAGCTGATGTTTGGAGCACTGTATCTCACTGACCAAGCCAAACTAGCTCGAGCTCCAATTAGCAAACTTGTAGTACTCATGTAGATCTCCAACTTTGTTAACTACGACTTAACCTGGATCACCACGGTTTAAGAGATCCAACGCGTCGAATACGTCTTTGTCGGTCACCTTCGCTAAACTTGAATCACGTTGTTTTCAGAAATCGGTCATCGGTCGCCGCGGGCCGACCGGCTCAGAAGTCTTGACGCCGCGTGGCGCCACCCGTCGCCGCCGCTTTGAGCTGGCCAGCATGCCACTGCTGCCGTGGACGCCCCTGGCGTCGCAGTGCGGCCTGAAGCCACCCCGGTATTCACCACCGAAGTCGTAGTCCCATTTCGCATTTCCCTCCTTCCTCGCAGCGCGGCGACCGGAACACCGAAGCACCGCCGAGGAAATTCCACCCCAAACCCGAGCGCCATTGCCCGATTCCTCTGAACCACAGCACCTTCGTGAGTCTCTCCACGTCCCCGACCCCACCGCCACTCCATTTTCGCCTCAGGTAGCTCTCACCGTGAGCGCGGCTCCACCGGGTCGCCATGATGACTTGTTGGCCGAAGCTCGACGCGGGCCGTGCCGCTCAAGCCCTTATCGCCCCTTCTCTTCCTTGCGCTTAGCTTCAGATGTGACGTGCAGCTCATTGAGTGAGCCACGAGGGCCGTGGCGTCGTAGCCCACGGGAGCGCGGCCGTCGTCTGCGTGGCCGAGCGCCGCCGTGCTCGTCGCCACCCCTCCTAGTTGCGTCGATAGCTACAAATAAGGGTTCCCCTTGGTCCGCTAGGTTGAGGCGAACCCGTAGGCACCGTTGGTCTCACCGGAGAAGCCACCGACGGCGAGTCCCGCCGTCGTCTTCCTCCGCCTCCCCTGTCTGTCTCGCTGACAAGCGGGTCCGCCTTGTCAGCCGCTGAGGCTCAGGCGGGAGTCTAGCTCGGGCCGCGCCATCGGCTTGGGCCGCGCCTGTGCGCTCGTGGGCCGCCGTTCCTTGGGCCAGCCCACCAGTAGCGGTTAGGTTTTTATTTTTGTTTTGTTTAACTGTTTTTCACAGTTTTGGTGCACCATTTCAAAAATAGATAACTCAAGTTTGATAGATCCAAATGATGTGGTTCTAATTTTGTTGGGTTCCTGGTCATGTCTAGTATTTAACAAAAATATTATATGAGCACCTGTTTTAGAAATTTTTGATGAATTAATTAGGACTTTGAAATGTGTTTTTAGATGCATGCAAATTTGTTTGAATTTTATCTTGAGTTTCTGTGGTCCAAAAATTATGAAATTTTGTGGGCAGTTTATGATTGCTTATTAGAAACTGTGGTTAAAATTTCAGAGCTAGTGCATGTGTAGTTTTTAAGTTATAGAATTTCCTTTTATTAATGGGTGGATCTTGTGTGAATTTTCATAATTTTTCTATAGATCCAGTGAAGGTAAAATTTTATGGGTGCTATTCTTATGCTAGAAGGATGCTAGGAAAAATGGGAAATCTATTGCTTGACAGTTTTTAATAAGGTTTCCTAATTATGCTAGAAATAGACATGTCATCTGTTATTTTGGATACAGCAAGTTATGTTGGTCCAATGGCTTTGAAATTTTTATGGTAGTCTATGTGCAGCATGAGATAGCTACTGTAATTTTTGTAGATTTTTATGAATAGTTTTACTATATATTGCTTAAATCACCTAATTAACTAAATAAATTGGAAAAAGATATTAAATAAATTATTTAGAAGTTGGCACTATACTTTATGATGTTTCTTAGGTATGAAAAACAAGTTGGTAAACTTGGTTTGGTCAAATTAGGCTTTTGCATCATCGTTAAATAATTAAGTTAGCAACCCTGTCATTTCTGGACAGATTCTAAGTTTGCTGGAATTTGATTTGGTTAGCTTAAGAATCATGCTTTGATGTTTAAAAATGAATTGTAGAGAATTTCATGAGCTTTCCAGAATGTCCTCTTGCAAGTCATTCAGATTTATAGAACTCTGGTTATGATTGAATTAAGTGACTACTTGTTTGCATATGAAGCTTTAACTGTAATTTTAAGTATGTATTTACTAGTTCTAAGTTTGTGGTAATGTTCCTAGGTGTTAGGCCTTTAACTGAAGATGAGCATCTTTATCTTAGGTTATGCAAGTTAGGTAAGTTGCTCTTGTTATTTAAGTTAAGTTGGATACATGCTTAAAGTGATTTGAATAGAGCTAATTACTCGGTAGAACGAGTGTCCGGTGATGTTTTCGTAAACACTCATTGTGATTCATTCATCATGAGCATCATGTCATTTCTTATGCATCCATGATATTTATCTTTTGCATCGGCATGCAATAGGTGTCTGGAAGGAGTAACCTGCTGGAATTCGAGGCTGAACGAGCAAAGAAGCAAATGACACCGGAGATTCAGGAGGAGCGACCTTGAGAGAGAAGTGCGACGAGGTCGCCGTTGAGTGCCCCGACCACCATCCTTGCAACTTTGTGAAAGGCAAGCCGGAGCATATTAAGCCTCCTATTTTCCGAGCTGCGATTATGATATTATTATTACATATATATTGTTGCATTAAGTTTAGGTGTTGAATGCAAACACTTGCTTTTCATTGGTTACCCATTCCTTGTCCAGATATTGTTACCCTAAATCCTATGTAGCTCGGGCTCGAGTAGTGCTTAGCCACGCTTAAACGCTGTAGAAGTCGGGTGATTTCTGTCACTGCGAGATATAGGATGATACATGTGGTACGGTTGGCTATATTTGCTATCGTGGAAAAGAACCGGTCTTAATTTGAAATGAAGACCGGACGGAGGCTTGCCGGTTTGCAAAGTGACTCGTCTGTGTCGCTTAAGGACCGATTCTTGAGCCTTTCTGTTCATGTTGAACGCATGCCTCTCTCTTAGTTGGTCGTGTCGGATGACCCGACCGCCATGGCCAGTAGCTCACCTCGGTAGGGAGTCGATAAGTATAAAGTGCGCCTCGGAAGGAGCCGAGAGGCGTGAGTCCAAGGCGTGTGATTTAAAAGTCTGATCGATCTGGCGGGAAGGGTAATCCACGAGAGTCCATGTTGATCGAACCGTAATTTGGTTCTGAGATGTTCCAAAAGGTGACCACGGCTACCCTTGCAAAGTATGCCAGGTGTGAGAGTTAGGAATACCCTCAAATTTGAGTTGTAATTCGATTCGAGTCGCCGTCTCTCTCGGTTAGTGAGAACTTGACGGGCTTATCTCCAATGTAGATACACTTAATAACTTAATGGTTCGGAAATGATGATATGATGATGACAAACCTTATTATACCGCTATGGTTAATATTGTTTGCTCCTAATAAGTGAGTGCTCTAGTACAAAAGGTGCTAATTTAATGGGACATGTAAATAATGATAAGCTTGATAATAAGTTTAAATTGGTTACTATAATCATAAGCTCTTTTATGCAACCGTGTCAAGCTAGCCCACCGAAAAGCCTTGCATGATCGTTGATGTCTTTTATTTACGATTTTTGTCGGGTAAGTCTAATTTGAGTACCTTCTCGTACTCGGGGTTTATTTCCCACCGCTGCGGATGACCGGTTCTTCTTTTGGTTGTCGCAAGCACGCCTTCTCCTGGGGATGAAGACTAGACCGTTAGGCGCGGTCTTTACTAGTTCTCGCACACGATAATGCTTTTGTGGGACATGACTACGATCCGCAATGTATTTAAAACTATGAAGTTATGTACTAAACTATGTTGCTTCCGCACACTCAAACGTGGTTTGTAATATTTTATTTGAACTCTGATGGATGTAATCCGAATGCTACTTGTGAAATGTTGTAACGAATGATGTGTTGTGTTGAATCATTACGATCTTGGTTTGTATGTCGAGAGTTGGTTGAAATCCTTCGTGATTTCCGGACTACCGGGATTATGGGAGCTTAAGTACAGGAATTGGTCGCTTCGGTGATTGTTTTTGTACTTACGTTCTTATGATTTGGTCGGTTCTGTTACATATAACTTTGTTGTTTACAACTTTTTATTTGAAATTATTTACTCTCCCAAAATTCGGCTCGATGTACTTATATACCGAAATTCTCACAAATCATATGAACAAGCGCAATTTTTTTAATCTCTGGGTAAAACTTGTAACTAGTCTTTCTCCCTCATACTAACTTCAAATTTGATGATTTTTTTCTGAATTTTTCTAAAATCATGCTCTATCAATTTCTTGTGTTCTTACAGCTATTATTTTAGCCATTTTTTCATATGACTTTGTTCTATCAAATTAAAATTTGAATTTCAGAAAATGGCAACTTCAAACAACATTTTTAAGCATTAAATAATTTCAGCTGAAAAAGTCATAAACATAAAAGTTGTAGAAGTGATCAAGATCTACAACTTTTATTTTGGTCATTTGTTCATCCGACAAAATGATACACTGTGTAAAATTTGTGAACAATGATTGTATCACTTTGTCGGATGAACAAATGACCAAAATAAAAGTTATAAATCTTGATCAGTTCTACATCTTTGTTGTTGATGACTTTTTCATTTGAAATTATTTAGTACCCAAAAATTATGTTCGAAGTTCCAATATTTTGAAATTCAAAATTCGAACTGTACAAACAAAGTCATATGAAAAAATGACCAACACAAAAGTGGTAGATCTCGATGCGTTATACAACTTTGTTGTTGACATTTTTTTCCATTTGAAATCATTTATTACCCCAAAAATATATTTGAATTCCACATATTTTCAAATTTAAATTTTAAATAGTTCGATCAAACTCGGATGGGGAAATGATCAAAACAAAAGTTCTAGGTCTCAATGAGTTGTACAACTTTGTCGTTGACAACTTTTCTATTTGAAAGACCATGTGTGTCATGCTAAGTTCTGTTCATTTAAAAAATATACTTAAATGTTAAAATATAAAAACTTGATGCACTATATTAGACCTAAACCCTAACCAAATTCGGCCCACCACAGCCCAAATCAAAGGCCCGCCTCATCCTAGACGTTAGATCGAAATGGACGTTGAAGGTGCACTCGGCCTTAAATAAATACCAGTCAGAACCCTAGCCCTCACCCCGCCCGTCACGCATACTCTCCTGGTCACCTGCCCCTCTCTCCACCCGTAATCCAGATCCCGTTTCGCACGACCTCTCCTTCGATGGATCCTGCCCAGCCCAGCCCTCCCTCTCCTCTGCCATACACTCAATTTCCTCAAAGATGGCGTGGATGCGGCCCTAGCGCAGGCGGCGTCAGCGGCACTGGAAGCAGCCTCAGTGTGGTCGGCGATAGCGGTGCTGGATGCAGCACTAGATCGTGCGGCGGCAGCAGCACTTGATGTGGCACCGGTGCGGACAGCGACGATGACGCTGGATGCGACACCAGTGCAGGCCCAAGGAGGATCTCGTCCCTGCTGCTGCCCTTCTACGGGTTGCCAGAGGCTAGAGCTCGAGTGCTCGACTGCACGACGTTGGTCGTTGGGGAGTTCAAGTTGTGGGCACATCTTCGTCACTGCAGACTGCACCGAGCACCATCCACTCTCTCCAAACGTGCTACGGTGATCCACTGATTCTTCTTCTCAAATCCCAATCGTTTTTGCTAGAAGTAGTACTACTACTTGGATTCATAGGAGACTGGATACTAGAGATATGTTAGTAGAAGTAGTACTCCTATTTTTTAGTACAAGTACTATTGCTAGTCTGCTACTTCATTAGTTAGCAGAAATTAAATACGTACCAGAGATCTATTAGTACAAGTAGTGCTCTTATACTTAGACTTTTTAGTGCCTATAAGTACTACTGCTGCTTGATTATTTAGTAGAAATATGGCTAGTACTTTAATCGTTACTAGCAACGCCTTGCTGGTGATTTAATAAACAATTTAGCTAGTAGAAATATGGCTAGTACTCTGAATTGCATCCCAATTATCCAAATTTATACAGAGAAAACAAACTGTAAGAATGACTAAAGTGAATGCTACCTACCTGCAATGTTATTTTTACTCAATTTGCTTTTTTGGTTGTGGGAATGCAATGTCAGTAGCCTTAGCATTACCAGCATACAGTAGTTATAATGAGGGGAAGATATGCATACAGATTGTATGTTTTTTGCTTAACATCCAGTCATTGGGGCTTATTAGTGGACAAATTGGTGTTGTTTTCTGTAAAATAAAGGTGGCATTGCTCTAGTTATATATCATATTTGAGAGTCCAGTTGTAAAACAAATCTAGATTCAGTAAATATATGACTACAAAATAGGGAATATAAGAATAGTCCGCAAAATGGTTGTACTCCTCTTGTAAATGAGATATATGTCAGTTACATAATTATTGGATACATGTACTTTACTCAAGTAAATGTCTGGTGAACACTTCTATGACCTTGTTAAGTGGATTCATGCTATATAGGAACATATGCTTCCAGAGAAGGAAAGAGAACCAGAAGAAGCACTAAAGTAGAAGCTCAGTTTGGGGCAACACTCCAAGCAGAAAGAGAGGAAGCTGCTAGGAAGCACAAACAGTCGGAAGCACATATTCTTGCTCAATAGGCCTCACTTGAAGCAAACCAAGCAGCACTTGAAGAAAATCAAAATTTGTTGCGCTAGACCCAAGAGGAAGTGAGGGGGATGCATACCAAGTTTGAAGAGACTAATGCACTGCTGCGAGCTGTGCTGAAACATTATAAAGATTGAGGTAGGTCTGCACGATGTTTCAGTTGATGATGCCTTTGCCTAATCTTTTGCTACATTGTGAGAACACCAAACTTTCTCTGTGTTTGTTGGAACGACTTTATGCACTATGTTGTCGGAAACTATGTGCAACTTATTTGCATCTGTTTGTATATTTGAACTTGTGTGATGAAACCTAGTACTAGTGTGATGTTTGAACCTGCAAGCAATTGTGTCTTGTCTTATGGTCTAGAATGTATGTGGATGATGGCTTGGCTAATATGTATGAGCTGTGATGAGAATGCTAGAAAAGTATATGTGACATTTGCCATTGAATTAATACATATGGGAATGCCACATTCGTCATCGAATGAAGGTAATTTTATGACAACCCACATTTGTCACAATAATTTGTCTAAATCAGGTTCCCATGACACAATTTATGACAGTTGGCGTATTAGGTGATGAGTTGACCAACCAATAAAAGCCCAGATTTTTTGTAGTGATCAGGTGGACCATTTTCTTCTTTAAGTCCTTGATGTTGTTCTGCTGCATTCCTCTTGTTCTCCTTCTATTCACATTACACATGAGTTTCGGTTTATATTTATACAAAGGCAATAGGAACAATAAAACACAATCATCACTTACAAATTTTTGCATCTGGACAACATAGGAGCAAGATTCTGTAGCCTAATGGTACTTCACTCTTGCACGATTTGCTTGTTCTTCTCAGATGTTTCCTATAGCTTCATTTGTGTTAGACTGCAGCACAAGTAGACCATAGCAAGACTAGATAGGAAATCGATGGGTTCACACACCTTGTTCTTAGCACTAGACCAAATCTTGACAAGTTTACACCACTGTGCATCGTTCATGGATGAGACAGGAGAGGTCATATAGATCTTATTAGCAGGTACGCCATTGAAGTATGTTCTCTTCAACCTGTAGCGTTCCTGCCGTACCACAGATTGCATTACATTCCAGCAAGCTTTTTTTGTTGGTGAGCACCATTAACGCGCAGCTTTCCCTGCACATAGTAGTGTGAATGAAAAGTAAATCCGTTAAAGTTACTCAAAGCAAAGTAGAATGTCAAGAGAGGATACCCATACATACATTTAGCCTTTCCACAAATCTTGTGCAATAGACGGCGTTGGGCTTCTCCCTCTTGTATTCTTTCTAATGCGTCAAAATTGGTACTTCCTTCCTGACTACTACACCTGCCTCTGAGGCAAACTTGGCAGCTTGCACTGGATCATGTGGCCTTCTATTCCCCTTGGCAACAGAGATACGCATCCTCGCTTCTCCTAGTGATTTACTCATTTTGTCAAGCATAATTCCATGAGTTCGAGGCCTCGGCCTCCTCACTCTTCTCGGCAATGGTACTACACAATTTTCATATATTTAGATTGTTAGAAAAGTTATATGGATATCAAATAGCTAGTGCAAATTGATTGATAGACATCTGTAAGGTAATACCAACCTAGGCAACTTTTATCGTTCTACGGGTGGGGGAGACGGGAGTTTGCTGAGAGGGCTCCTCTTTAGTAGGGCTATCATCATCTGGCCATGAGGAGTCTCTATCAGGGCTAGGTAGGGTGTTGTCAACTTGGAATTGGTCCCTAGGTCCGGGTGTTGGTCGTGATGGAGAGTTATGCTCACCTACTGCTGCTACCTCCACCCTTTTGCCAGTGGAAGACCTCCGAGTACAAAATCCATGAGCAGCCTCTTCTGGTGGTGCTGACCTCACTCACTTGGAGAGCCTTGTCCCAGGACTCATGGCAGCGCTGCCTATTGTCTTGCTGGCAGAGCCTCCTCTATGGCTTCCTCGACCCAGACACTAAAATTGGAGATACAAACTTAAGCAGCAAGCATGTACAAATTCCATTGATATCCAAACAGTAAAGCATTGCATGGCTACCTACCCCCCACCCCCCATCCCCTCTAAACTAAATACAAGATAGAACAAGCACCTCATCAATTGATAGGGGCACCGGCTCATCTTCTAAATCTGAATCTGTTTCATCTGTATCCTCAAATCCCTCAACTACATCCCCCTGGTTTTGGGATATATTCCAAATCTTCACCACGTCTACCCTTTGTGCTTCACTTTTCTGCCTTGGAGATAGGTTTTGGGCCCACACATCGTAGCTGCAGCTTATTGCGCTGCAGCTTATTGCGCTGCAACTGGCGATTTTCTTTTTTTGTGTGACTGCATCTGCAGCTGTTTGAACTAAGGCCTATAATTAGGAAGCAACGGGAAGGCACGCCAGGGATGGAAAAACCTCCAAAAAACTAAATGGGTTATTCAAATAATATCCCCATGGATTTCCCACCCTAGAAAATGTAGTCATGGATTCTAATGTGCTTTGAGTTTCCAGAGAAGAGAACAAAAATAAAGCATCCTCCTCCTAGCTAGCACTCTTGCGATTCGCTGACTTGCCAGTACTCCGGATCATCCTCCTCCTTGCTAGAGTCACAGTCGGTGCTATACTTTCCATCGCTCATGTATGTCCCCATTGTTCGTGAGCCTTGAGCTGGTCGCCAACGCCGTCTTAGCGAAGGTGAACGTGGACGACAACATTCTACATGCCCACCTCGACCCTTGATCTGTGGGATGTATCAGTAGTACAAGTCATGACTAGGCTTGGTCTATGGGACGACCGTATGTGAAGTCTTATTTGCATGCATGTATGTGTTAAATTTTGTTGAACTTTGTATTAGCTCGGTTAAACTCTGTTGAGTGTTGTGTAGCCCAGGTCCTTTGGTCATTTGGTAACTAGTTATACTAACGGTGTTTGCCCTTTTTGATCGGAGGATGTAGGTGTATAGATGTTGAAATTTTCTGAACCCTAAGATAGTATGACCCTACAAAATATAGACGATCCGGATCACTATGAAATACATGGGCCGTCCAAGTAGTCCATAGAACCCGACTACCAGGGGCTAACAACTAGTTCTAATCTATAGAACCCAACAATTAGTTGAGGATACAAACAGGTATGGACTAATAACACAACTAATTGGCTGATTCTTAGTTGGCTATTTTTTAGCCATGGCTAACTAGTCGTAGTCCATCCAAACAGGGCCATAGATAGTCCGATACTAAAGAAATCTTGATAGGCCGGATCATAGTTTTGATGAAACAACAAAATATAGATCGTGTCAACTCTTGTGCCTGTATATGTGGGGTCGTGGGCACGTAGCCACGCGTGCGTGGGTTATGGGGTGGTCCACGACCCATGAACTATATAACAGCAGAGACAAGGGGTGAGAGGAAGGCTCTCCAAAGCTCCTGCTTCAGTTCCATCCCAAAGCTTTTGCCCTCCTCCCTACTACTGGGTATCTTTGTTCTTTGTTTTTTGCATATTGTTTTCTTTTTTACATAGATCTTGGATAACTATGATTATTCTTGGGACATGTCTATGTATCGGTATGTCTTCCGTGAGCTTCGTGTTCGCCATGGCCTACAAACAAGGGTTGTAGTGCTTGTAGTGTATTCTAACTTTTATAGTAGATGGTACATTGTTTCTGTAGTTGTTCATCAAGTTCTTGGCCATCAAAATTACCGTCTTGCTGAGGATCATCAAGGACCCTATGTGTTTGTTGTGGTTCATTCAAATGTAGATCTCCAGACTTTGCTTTCATACCGCTATGAGTTCTGTGGTGCAGAAGTATTTTCTCATCGTATCCGTTATCTTACAATCTGTCCGAATGATCCAGAGATTGGTGGAGTTTGTGCAGTTCCTCTCAACTAAGCTCTAGCAACATGGTTCAGATGATGTTAATGTTTAGTATCTCATAACAATGATGTTATGATTTGTGTTTTCAATGTTCACT